AGGAGGAGTGGGAGACACAGCAGTATTTTGGGCAAATCTTACTGGACTGTGGTCCTCCTGCTCCAGCCTCCTAATTAGCTGGGATTACCAGCACACACGACCACACCCAGGTTGACCTGAATCAGATCTGGGCCTCTGCAGTCAGCTCCAAGCCTCCCAGATAGCAGCTATGCACCACCTTTAACTGACCGTAGGCCTTTAGTTGGGTCTTAATTGCTCTTTTAAATCACTTTTCCAGTAATACTGAAGACCACCAAGCCTGTGAGTTTGATTTCTTGCCCCTCTTTCTAGGTTTAAAAAATCAGTGAAATAGTTCTAATCACCATTCTGTCAAGGCAATTAAATAAATTGTTTTACTTAAACAACTTTCAACTACCTATTGAAAATATGCTAACATGAAAATTTATGAATACAGAATGTAAAGCAAAAAAAGTCCCCTTTGCTGAAATCCAACAGTGTCAAACTGTTGATTCTATGATTCCCACCCTTCACATACCCCAAGGGTGCTGAATGATCCACTGAAAACACATTTTCTCTGAGGCTGGAAGGAGCTTGTGGGTCATTTTCTCCCTGAGCTTGACCCTGAGCTGTGAATGAGGTCACAGTTGTATGATGGAACAAACCCTTTATTGGATTCTTGTTTTAAGCCCAGATAGTAGTAAGTAGCACAGTTTAAAAGTAGGTAAATATCAGGATTTTGTAGGATTCTATGCTGAGCGCTTTTTTAAAGAAATCTATCATCTCTATGAGAAATTGAAGGTTTTATTTTTTAAGTAATGATTATTTTGAGCCATGAGGATGATTTCACAGCACCTGTCAAGTGCCTAAGTTGTTGCGCCTCACCGGAGTTCCCAGCTGTGTGGTAGGTTTCTAGATTTTGAGCACGTGTAATCTAGTTATGTAGAAACAACTGCTTTCCGGGCTCTGAAGGGAGGACCTGGGAAAATGGATAGAATTCTAACCAAGCATTCAAAGACTTTTTCTTCATGGTTTAATTTGTCCATTTGTCCTTTATTCTTTTTTTAAGAATTATTTATTTAATTTTATTTATTCATTCAATCCTTTTCATTTGACCAGAGAAAGACACACAGAGAGAAGGAAAGTGAGAAAGCAAGCCACCAGATCCAGGACTCAAACCAGGGTCAGCCATGTGAGTCCAGCTCCCCAACTACCACAGCACCTGCTGGCTCCTACACTTTCATTTTTATTACTTGAGACCCCTCTGCTCACCCCTCATTCTTCCCAACCTCAAGCAGTCATTCTTTATCCCTCTACCTCTGTGAGGCCATTTCCCCCCTCACTTTCTGTGGATGAGAAAGAACTCCTGCCTATTTTTAAGAATTTCTAGATAAAGAGATCTTATTCTTTTCTTTCATGAGAATAAGAGACATGGAACTGTTTCTCACTGGGGAGCTCAGGATGTGTCTGTGAAATTCCGTAGCTGATGGCAGGGCCCTGATTCAGCTGAACCCAGGGTCAGCCATGTGGGAGTGTCCAGTACCTTAACCACCACGCCACCTGCTGGCCTTTATCCATTATTCTTAAGTCAGCAGAACAGTTTTCTTGTTGGTGAATCACCTAGTACACTCTACATTCTGAAAAGATAATTGGAGAGATTAAGCTGACAAAGGGGGGATGCCCTACCAACGTAGCGTCTGGTCCACAGGACCCATTTCTGAAACTCCACAGAAGTGGAAAGGGAGAACTAGGGAGGCCATAGTAGTTAGAGTCTATTTGGAGGGCCAAGGGTAGCAAAACAGCATTGCATCCCACACCCATTCCTTTTTTTTTTTTTTTAAGAATTATTTCTTTATTATTATTCTTCAATTTGACCAGAGAGAGACAGAAAGAGAGGGAGAGTGAGAAGGGTAGCTGCTAGCTCCAGGACTCAACCATGGTCATCCATGTGGGAGGCCAGCACTTAACTACCATGCCACCTACCAGCCCCACCCATTCCTCTTTTTAAGAAAGCCCGAGAACTGACAGGGCAGGAATGGGTCTCCCTGAAGGGAACCATGAAAAAAATCTACTTACTATCATGAAGGTATCTAAAATAAAAACAAGTAGACAGTGGGGCCGGCAGGTGGTGTGGTGGTTAAGGGCACTGGACTCCCACATGATCAACTGCGGCTTGAGTACGAGACCTGGAGACTTGCTTTCTCACTTTCCCTCTCTTTCTCTCACTCTGTCCCTCTCTGGTCAAAATTAAAAATAAAATAAATATATAAAGTTTAATAAAATAATTCTTTAAAAATAAGTTTTAAAAAAAGTGTGCAAATATTTTAGAAATGCTGAAACATTTTATTCCCTGTCAATATGACAGGAACTGTTTAACTGATTTCATTTTTTTAAAAATTATCTTTTTTCCCTTAAGAATTACTTATTTAATTTTATTTATTATTGTTTTTAATTTGTTATTGGGCATGTGTGCTCACCAGAAAGAGAGAAAAAAATGAGAAAATAAGCCACCCGGTCTGGGACTCAGACCACAGTTGGCCATGTGGGAGTCCAGCACCTTAACCACTATGCCACCTGCTGGCCTCTAAATTTTGTCTTTAAATAATTTTTTCCACATATTTATAGGATAACTTTATCCATGGCTTCATTTTTTTTTCTTATGCAAGAGAGAAAGATAGGCATTTTTGACAGCGACTCACTGTGTCATGGTCCTGCTGTCCCAGCCTCCCAATTAGCTAGGACCATGGGCACACAGAGCTGCACCCAGTGTGTTCAGGTTGGCCTGGAACTAAACCCAGGCCTCCTGTCATGTGGCTTCCAGCCTCCAAGGCAGTGATGATGCTCTCTGTGTGCAACTACATCTTGGCCAGCAACATTCTTGGTACTGAAGTGTACAACTGAATGCTTTGATGTATGTATTTACTGTGAAATAATCTTGACGATGAAGCTAATTAACACATCTATCACTGCACATACCTATCCTTTGGGGTCAGGGAATGAGAACACTTAGGACTCTCTCAGCAAATATCCTAGTCATCATGCTGTACATTAGATCTTCGGAATTCATTCATCTTGCACAGCTGAAACTGTACCGCTTGACCAAAGTCTCTCCATCTCCCCCTCCTCTCACCTCCTGGTAACCACCGTTCTAGTCTCTACTTCTGTGAGTCTGACTATTTTCTATTCCACATGCAAGCAGTAACATACAGTGTTTGTCTTACTGTGTCTGGGTATTTCACTTTAGCACTTACTTTTATCTAGGATCAAAGTGTCACTATTTGAAGGGGGAGGAGTGGCCAGAAATTTTGCTTACAGATCTGGAGACAATAAAGAGGCACTTCCACATGACCTTCCAACTTTGCACATAACTGTACCTTGAATGTTCATATATAAGTAGTCCTTGAGGCCCTGGACTTTTCAAACTCCTGGCCCTCAGCTGGAAAAGTTGTAAAAGAATATTAAAAAAATTAATCTATGAGTTCATCTTTAATTGTATCTTCTGAATTCTAGACGGAGTCACTGACCATATGGCAGTTTCAGAAATTAAGGCAAAATTTAAGCTGAAACCCTTAACAAGAGTACCCATTTTCCATGGCAAGAGGTATGTAATGAACATATTAAGTTGATAAATAAGTATTAAGGTGATGGATATATTAAATGCCCAAAAAGGCTATGATGAAACAAATTAAAATGTTCTTTAAATATTTGTGAGAAGTTTAGTTATAAAATAAAATATCTGAATTGAAGAGAAATATTTTCATGGAAAGAAAAAATATCCTTTTGACTTAAGAAACAAAGAGTTTTCCTTCTTATTCTTCCAAATGAGAGCTGTTTTTATGTTGGGATACTGAATTTCCTAAAGGGATCCATTATACATTGAAATGCTTTGCATGCCAGTTTAAAGGGAAATAAATATAGGAGATCATAAAGAAGATTTAAATCCCTGTGCAAGTCAAAGTACAGAGAAATAGTCTATATTTCAAATTTGACTGGTAAGATAAAGTCTGGTATATTAGCATGGCCAGCCCTGGGCTAAGGTTGGGAAGGGGAGTTTGCTTGTGACATTAACAATAGCTTTTTCTCAGTCAGCTCGCAACAAATTCCAATAAACAGCCACTAATGACAAAGTGAGAGCCTGTGTATGTGTATGAGCATGTGTGTGTTTTGTTTCATTTTGTTTTATGGGAAGAAAAGCGTACATGTCAAGGAGGGGGCGAGGTTATTTTTGACAGGGTCTCACCACTTCGCAGTTTTCCTACCTCAGCCTCCCAGGTAGTCAGGACCAAATGAATAGTGTAAGGCTTACAGCCTTGAGCTTTGAAGTCAGAAAAAGCCAGATCTTCCACTCTTTGTCTGTGTGACTTATGACAAGTTAATTAATACTTCTGAGCTTCAGTTTTCTGTTTTGTAAAATGAGGGACATCACAGTTTTGTTTTGTTTTGTTTTGTTTTGTTTTGTTTTGTTTTTTGGAGAGGTTTTTGCTATAGGGCGCATGCACTCGCCAGAAAGACGGAGAGAGGCAGAGAGACAGAAAGCAAGAAATCACCCCTCTCCCAGGGGGGATGGCCACACCGCAATCCCTTCTCCTCCATTCTCCTCTTGGGATCTTGGGCACGCACGCACACGCACCCAACGTGAGTTTAAGCCACCAAGTCCAGGACTGTAACTGGTCGGCTACATGGGAGTCCAGCGACATAGCCATTACGCTAACTGCTGGTCCGTATCAGGGTTTTTTTTAAGGGAGGTAAGGACTGTGAGCAAGCATAGCATAGACAGAGGTGGACCTCAGGGGTCAACATGTTATCACTGTCCATCCTGCAGCTATTGACAAATGACTCTGGATATACCATGATGTCTACACTCATTTCACTCAGCAAAAAAACAATGAATAGAAATAGTATTTGCTGGTTCTACATATATGTTTTATCTAAATCTTTTTTTGTCTCTTCTTAGGGATAAAGACTTATCAGTCAATCAATGTCAGTTACAACACAAAGAAAAAAAGTTGAGCCCTTCACAAATGGAAGGTAATGAGAATCATTTTTGGAATTAAAGCATAAACACCTAGGACCAGCAGGTGGTGTGATGATTAAGGCACGGATCTCCCACATGGCTGACTGCCGTTCGACTCCTAGACCTACCGACTTGAGAATCACACTGGGCACATGTGCATGCATGTTCAGAATCCCAGGAGGAAAAGGGATTGTGGCATGGTCATCCCCACAGGGAGTGATTTCTATCTTTTCTCTCTATCTCTCTCTCTCTCTCTCTCTCTCTCTCTCTCTCTCTCTCTCTGTCTCTCTCCCCCTCACAAGCATATACACCCTAGAGCAAAAACCTTAAAGAACAAAAACTAATCCTCACCCCCCAAAAAAAGCTCTTAAACATACCTTGGGTCAGCAGGTGGCATGGTGGTTGAGGGTACTGGACTCCCATATAGCTGACCAAATTTCGAGTCCCAGACCTGGAGGCTTGCTTTCTCACTTTCTCTCTCTCTCTCTCTCTCTCTCTCTCTCGCTCTCGCTCTTGCTCTTGCTCTCACTCTGTCTCTCTTGGCGTGCTCTCTCTCTCTTTCTCACTCTCACTCTGTCCCTCTTCGGTCATATTTAAAATAAATAAAGTTAAATAAAATAATTCTTTTTTTATTTCAATTTATTTATTTGCATTCATTCACTGTACATCATTACAGCATACGAAATGAGATTTTCCATCCAGAGTACACTGTATACTGTCTCAATCAAGCACATCAACAAACATGTTATTGTCAGCAAATGATCTTCCATTTCTTGTTTTCTGTATGTTTTGCTCCCCCCCCCCAATCCTTGATTCCCTATCTCTTCCCCTCTTTCCATTG